GCTTGGTCTGCGATCTTCAAAATAGCCTTTCTTATCCTCTGCAACTCCACGTGGTATGCGAATGCTGGCACCCCGATTTGCAAACACCTAAAGAAATATTGTTCAATATATGCTCAAAAACTTACATATAATGACGTGCAAGACCATGAAATATGGAAAATGAACTTACCAGCACTGAAATCATGGATGGAACTGGTTTCATGGCGACCTGTCAGTCTACTTTCATTGTCACGTCCTCCTTTAGGATCATAGGCTTGGATGTGTCTCAAGTGGCATTTTGAAAGCTTGTCAATGGCTTTTTCGATTTCACTGAGGAGATAAATATTTTATTACTTAAACAATAATAATCTATTTAATGCTATTTATGTTTGCGCATACATTATTCCATTTTCTTCTCTCATCTTTTTGGTGCTAACATTTGTATGAGCTCCTGCTCCATTCCAATCTCCCGGCATTGGTTTTGGATCCAGGGTTGCTACCACACCAAACTCTTCAGCTATTCTATGAAGCAGATATCGGGCCACCCACAGTTCATCCCCGATGCTAACACCTTCACAAGGACCTACTTGGAATTCCCATTGAGCTGGCATTACTTCAGCATTGGTACCAGAAATGCGAATTCCAGCATACAGGCAAGCTCTGGAAAAAAGATAATATTAAACAAATTGTCTAATGGGATGTTATTAATTTTATTACCTATAGTGAGCTTCAACGATATCTCTAGCGTAAACTTTGTCAGCGCCGACGCCGCAATAATAAGGTCCTTGGGGTCCTGGATAACCGTTTTTAGGCCACCCAAGGGGGCGTAAGTCTACATCTAATAAAGTGTATTCTTGTTCTATACCGAACCAAGGTTCTTCGTCAGGACAACGGTTGACTGCTTCCAGACATGAGTGCCTTTTGTTTGAATCTGAATTATACATATTTATATATCACTGTCTAATATTTATTTTTTTTATAAGAAATCTTTTATATTGAGATTTAAAAAGAACTTAATAGCTTATCGAAGTGAAGTTGTTTCTTAATATTAGGATCGAACGCGTCGGAAATGTTTAATGCTTATAATCATCCATGGAAATATTAAAATCCTAATAAATATTAAAGCAAAATTTAAGTCTATATAATAAACTACCAAATTATTTTTCTTCAAAATGCCTTATAAATTTTAAAATGTTTTTTTGAAAAAACTTTTTTTGTATACATTAATTTTGTTGCAATGTTGGCAACACTGCTCCGTGCCTACACCCCTGATGTCTGTTCGTTGAACTGTCATTCATTAATTTTTATTGCAAAGAGTAGCACGTAATATAACATTGTTAATATTAATAACGATTAATTCTTTTTATTTATTTGTTGTTACTTAATGTGTTAGTAATTTTTTAGTTAAAATTTGTAGTGGTGAGATGCAGCTACTAACTTTTTCAAAGATTTTATTTAATTAATAATTGTGCAAAACCATGCAGAAAAATGTTAAGGAATGGGTGAGTGCATATGCATTTTATATATATTCTTGTCAAAATTAATATTTGCACGTTTACTGTTATTCATTTTTTGCTGTTTGATATGAAAATACTATAAAACCCAAATATTTTTTTGCTTTTAACATTACGACTTGAATAAGGACTAATTGTAAGTGATGTCAATATTGCTTACTTATGACTATTGTAAATTGCTAGTTTTGTATCATTAAATCTCAATTTCTTCAATCATTTACATACCGGTGGGTTTATGATTATATTTATACGTATCGCATAAAACTAAGATATTGTTTCCTCTACGGAAGGGGTCCTTGTAAATCGCGACTGGGTGCAGGTAAGTGTCCGAGTTGCTACCTAAGGCTTGGTACGTAGAACTCCCGTCGTAGTTCCAAATTGGAAGATCTGAAAATAATGTTTATATAAATTTCATAAAAAGCAGATATCTGCTAAGCTTTCCGTTGCAATCGTACAAAATATCAGGTTTTCGATTTTTACTGCTTTTTCAATGGGGTTGTTTTTCTCTCCATATAGGGTAAAGTTGCACAAGTAATAATCAGTGACTGCCAAAGTTGCCAAACCCCGGGCTATATTTTGTTCGATAAATAATTCATAAATTACATCTTCTAGTACCATTAAATAAAACTACATATTTAGTTGAGTAAACAAACGTTTATAGTTGAACGTTGGAAGGATGGAACCATATGGTCCAGAAGGATGAAACCAGAAACATTAAGAAAATGCTTTTTGTGAAGTTTCTACTAATATTTTGAAGTTGTGGGTCTCTTATGGCAATAATATAATTTTAGAATTTTTTCCTTAATCATATTTAAATGGTAAACTTTTCTTTCTAAGTTTATGGTTGTAGTTTTAATTTTAAACTTCAAACATCTTGTTGCTTCAATCATACCTGCGCAAAATTTCTTGTTGATACCTGCGCAAAATTTCTTGTTTTCATGAGCGTGTTAGAGAGTTTTTTTGATAAGTTTGAAAAAATAATGAATAAATACAATTTTTCTCAAAATTGTTTTTGCTCAAAATTGAAATACCGATTAGGTCAGTCATGTGCCACGGAATTAGGTGCATTCAATAAGAATACTTATGTTCCAATTGGAAACCAATAGCAAAAGAAAAATTGATCTCTTCAGGTTGAATTTTATATGGTTGTTTATTAGTAGGTACGACTAAGACCATTATGCACTTTAATAACACCTTCTGCATATTTTTGAAAAACGTAAAAATACCTAATTTTATTAATTTCAGCCATTGTTAATAATTATAATGCCAATAGGCAACTAAATAAAAATTTAGAAAATGCTAAAAATTTTACATTACAATATTACAGAATTATTTCCTTAAGTGGTACAACCTATCATGGACATTGAAATTTCAATAATAAGGACTAATACTTTTTTCTGGTTAGAACATATTTTTGATATGGGTACAAAATTCACAGATTCATAAATATGTATGATTCTGATTTATTTCATCACCTTCATCACATCACATGTTGGATTCAGTATATTATACATGACATGATATGGATATAAAGAATTAATTCATAATTTTGAAATGGAAGCTTGGAATTGGAATTGATCCTGGTGGTTTTGGTAACTTTTGCCCACGTTCTGGCTTCAGTTAAATTTCATAATTTAACTAACCTTTAGGACAAGTTGGAATAAAGTCCAACGTTCGATCCTTAGCTCGAACATTTTCTCCAGTACCATCAATCCATATGTAAGTTGCTTGGACTTTGTTTTCGGGTATAGGCAGGTCCATATACTTATCAAGTAAGGTTTTGTTTAAAGCCGCATTCGGTGAGTGTTCTAATGTATGGTTCGGCATCTGAAATTAAACCAAAATTATAATACAAAATTAAAGAAATTATAACTTTATTACAAAAGTTTTTGTACCCTAAAGATTTCTATACCTTACTTGATACGTTGCTAAAACATTTTTCTAATAATTATCTCTTTATTAAAACTTTCGAAAGCTTTTATACATTATCCTTTATCATAATTTTAATTAAAAATACAAAGCTTTTTTCATTTTCTTCAACATTTTCCCGAGCTACGCTTATAGGAATCATATGTATGTATATGACTTCCGCAATTGACAGACTTCTTCATTCCGTTGCGACTTTCTCATAGTGTTTTTCAATCCCATCATGTATTGTAAGGAAACTGATAACTATATCAGACACCATCAAACTTTTTTGGAAAACAATTATATAGAAAATATTGGAAATTTTAATGCTTCAATTGACCTCATCTGTTTAATAAATTTTTGCATTTGATGCAAGACGAGTGGGATAGACCTATTAAAAATTACTGTGCCATATACATATTTGATTCTGTTTCTTTTTGGAAAACGTTTCATATAATCATAGCTGGGCACCGTTAATCAAATAGTTAACTTCGTTAATCGTTAATCCGCTACAAAAAAAGTTAACTTCGTTAAACGTTAAAGCGTTACATTTCGGAAGAATTAACGCAAGTTAACGTTAATCGTTAATCCGTTAATATGTGTAAAATTACATTTTTATATCGTTGCGTTAGTGAACTTAAAAAACTTATTAACTTCCCGTAGGGCAAGTTATAGTAATCGCAAAAAAATTGAAAATGAAAATTTTTATATATCTTTACGTTTCAAAGGTTCCTGAACATTTTGGCATACCTTAGAAAAAATGGGTGTGTGTGTGTGTGTGTATGTATGTATGTATGTACGTGTGTGTATGTATGTGCGGATACAAATTTTCGTCGACGATTTCGGGAACACGGATCAACCGATTTGAATAATTCAAGAAACATTCGATTTGTATTGATAAGGAGACGTGCTGATTAGTTTTTGGCGAAGGCAGGTCTAGCCGTTCCGAAGATACGGGACAAAAAGTGCCGAAAACGGTAACTCAGTTTTTAAGAGAACAAGATAAGGAATCGATAAAATTTTCATGAAGGTAGGTCTAGCGGTTTCGGAGATATGGAGAAAAAAGTAAAAAAATGGGCCATTTGGCGGTCAAAAATGATCATTAGACATATGCACATCAAATTATCAGATATTTTATAGAGATTTTAACAATAAGTATACATTTTGTTAACATTCCTATGGGTTCCGTACCAATGTTTATGCGTTAGACAGCGACGCGGCGCTTTATATTTTGTCCCTATACAGTTAAAGCAGTACGATTGCTTTGAAAAAAAGTTCAGATCTTCCACAATATGTCAAAATAAAGAAAAACTAGCTGTAAGTGGAATTCTGTCTTGAGGCAATTATGGCATCGTGCCTTAAGGCAAATTGCTGGAACTTCCCGTACCGTAACGAAATGTTCCAGGAATACTGAATGTTTTCAAATAG